AGGATAGAGACGACTGATGTTACCTTTAAGCAAAAATTCTGTGAGACGATCATCATTTCAAAGTTTACTTAGTTAAAAGTTCAACCAATTCCTCGTAAATCTGAACCTCTGTTGTTTCAATACTTACAAAAGGGTTCATAAACCCATTAAGAGACTTCGAGGAAACAAAACATCTTTAAAATGGTCAGAAAAGTCCATGTGCAAAGAGTCAAGGTGTTGACAATATTCTTGTGCATGTGCATCATCAGAGAGAATTTTGCCTGTATGGCTGAATTCATTCCAACCAAAACTCTGCTAAAACAAAATCAGTTTTTTTAGAAAGGCGAAAATAACTTATTTTGTAGGGATCGAATTGAGCTCGTCGCCTTGAAATTGTAAATTAATGCCATTAAATTTTACAGATAAATCAGCCAAAGTCTTTCTTAAATTCTAGCAATCTCACTCTTAGAGCTACATTTATGTTTTCGAGGAACTCAAGCACAGAGTCGAAAAGATTCCAATACCTATTGAGACAGAAGCTTTTGGAAAGTCAGCGAATCTCGGTGTATATTGCAAGCAATTGAATTCTTCATCGTTTTTCTTACACAGTAGTCTAAATAATCGATCTTAGAGAGCATTACTGCGAATTTTGTTTACAGCAGATACGGCATATTGCAATGATTGATGCAAACAGTCACTGAGATTTTTTCTTACTAAATTCTGTCTGTGAATCACGCAGTGAACAGCTAAAATATCTGGTACCTCCCTTTCCAAAAGGGCTATAAACTCACGATGTCGACCCACCATTGCAGGAGCCTATCAGTGGCAATGGACATAATATTCGCAAGAGGAATGCTTTTCTCTTTAAAATAATCTTTGACAGTACTAAAAATAGATTTACCTTTGATATCTACAATCAAGCTTCCTGCAAAAAGCATATCTTGAATGATTTTCCCTTTCTTTACAAACCGGACCTATGCCTACAGTAAAGCCTGCATTACCTGGCAAGGTAAATTCATCAACTTGAAGGGAGAATTCGTTCGACATCAAAAATTTGCTTAAAGAAATTTCAACGTCTTCACCCATCTCATCATTTCGTCGCCACACTGAATCTTATAGAATAGTTTTGTGGATTATCTTATCTGATCTTATGAATCTTATGGATAGATAGTTTTTTGGAACATTGGATGATGTAAAACTGTTTCTTAAACTTACTTGACAACCGGCACTATCAACTCTACTCCGATGGTTTGAGCTTTCCCAGATTTAGCAATAAATTTTGATATATTATAAGAAGCGATCAAACCATTGTCGCATTTTTGTGATGACGTAACCAGTAACCCTGAGACCGAAGGTGCCTTCAGAAACGTGAAAAAAGACGTTCGTCAAAAATGACAAATCTATATCTAGCTTTTTTGCACCCCCCTACTGCCCAAAACAAGTTCACCCCCCCTCAGCATAGTCCCACCGCCCCCAGGGGGCCCGGTATCGCCCCCGTTGAGAACCAATGATTTAAACCATCGCAGTTAACTAAGTGCAACAAAATAATGCTTTATAGCTCTACGTATAGTCTGTCTATAGAAAGGTAGGTACTTCATTTACGTCGTACTAGAGCTGCGCAATGGGCTATTGGCGACGGTCTGGGAAACATCCCTGATGATGATCCGAAGACATGTCAGCGTAATTTTGATCCTCTGCGGAGAGGATGTCTTCCCTCCTTTGATAACCCGATTACCGGCAAGCGAAGTTGGGAACTTTACGGATGAACAGTTTGCAGCAGATCGATACTGCGCACCGTCCCTACGCTTACTGATCGCAGCCAGTGCTTGACTTCGGTGTTCTACTGGGAACCGTGTCTTTATGATCAGTCCACTGTGGGACGTCTATAGAAAGAATTCCCCGACTACAGAGTCTAAGAGACCGGTGATATAAACAACTCTCTCTATATCGTTTACTTATTCGTGGAAAAATTCTCTACGGAGATAAACTATATTAAAACAAGCTTTCATACTTATACCCATAGATATAGAGGGGTAGTAGCCTTATTGTAGTCCCTGCTTATACCGCAGATGACTTTAATTCACCTTATTTGTATAAAGAAAATCTTTAAAAAAATTGTTTTTAATTCACCCCTACTTGGATCAAATTTATAAACCTGCTTATCCATAATCTCACAAATGTAAAGTGAATTACCCTCGTAATAATGGAAACTACATAGAAAGTGTTCTAAAAAGGTTATTTTCATGCAGATCTAATTCACATATTATCTTTTTCAAACGGAGAAAAAGTCGATGTGAATGATAAAATATCTTCTTGCTGAAAGTAAACAAAATTCATATTGTGCGTGCATAAACCTTTTTTCTTTAAAAAAAGATTGTGCTTTCTTAAAGATTTATGTCATCAATAAACTATTCATTAAGTGTGTGTAATTTCTTTCTGGCAAAAAGAAACATCATTAATAATCTCATTCTATGTACTGGCAGTAACTTTCTATCCCGTGACACTAACAGCAAATAGTATCTGTGCAATGTGTCTCAGTTGCAATGATGTTCTGACAGAAAATTTTTTTCGCAAATGAAATTTAATGTTTGTGTGTTTATAAGTTTTCAAGGGGGATATTTCCGTCGTGATCTGCTGCGCCAACTACGATCGCCAAGGTGCCAAATAGATTTAAAATTTGCAAATTTTTAGAAGAAAAAAAAAACATGTAGATGTTTGCCCGGGGGTGGCTACGAGTTATACATTTCGAGTTTGTCCCTTTCTGTGATGTTTTTTTTTTTAGTTTCTCGTGGGCCACTGCTCGGAAGTTTCCAAGACTTTGCGATTATTCTGCCACAGATCATTATACGGAAAGCTCCCTTTTTGCTTTAAAGAAAAACACAGATACGACAATAATGCTACAAAAGTTTATGAAAATGATATCTGCAAAATAACTGATTTCAGTAGTGAAGTAGCTGCAATATATGGCTAGCAAATAAAAATGTCCACACCAAGATTTTATATTAATTCAGCGAGCGGTGCAATACTAATGTCCAGTATCCAGAAATCTCCTTGCATGAAAAAGAATATTGTAGTAAAAATATGTATTTCCTAGCGTATTCGTTACATCAACTCCAGTTCAAACGTTCTTGCCATTTTCGCACACGCTCAAAAATCGGGCATTCAAGCTCTTGGCAGTAGAATGCGTTTGGCAATCAACCATTTCAGCTGATTGCCAAAGTTTAGGGCAATAAAAAGGCTGGCATTTTAGACAGTGCGATATATTTAATATGGCTGTTGCTTGGCTGACCGCCTTT